TACTACTAACTCCTACTCCTAACTCCTATTCCTATTCCTACTCCTACTCCTACTCCTACCACTACCACTACCACCACCACGACGACGACGACGACTACTACGACCACTACGACTACTACTACTACTACTACTACTACTACTACTACTACTACACTACTTACTACACTACTGCTTACTACTTACTACTAACTACTAACTACCAACTACTAACTACTGTACTACTAAATACTAACTGCTAACTACCACTACCACTACCACTACGACGACTACGACGACGACTAATATTGCTACTACGAGCCATAGACGAGCTTGTGCATCATCCTTGGAATACCGTGTTTGTAGGTGCTGTGTGACATGGCAATTGAAATTCGTATTGTCATGTATTGTCCAATTTGCTCACGCTCACTTGCCTAGTTGGTCGACTTCCCACTAAGCCCATCAGTCGGCAAGTGCTCCTTCAGTCCAAAGCCGGATTGCTGAAGCTCCTGCCGTTGGAATATAGACACACAATCTCTTTGGGATCAGCTGATATGATCCTTGCTTTCAGAGCCCTGTTATATGCTGGATCTGATCTACTTGAAAGGCGCCAGGAGGAGACTCACTGTAGGCAAACTGGAACATATGAGCTTTCTCGGCGGTCGCTTGTGCCGCGAAAAGTTGTTTGTGACCTGTTTGAAGACCTTCAATCCGGCATATTGTGAAGCAAATACGGAGACCTCCGACTTTTGAAAACTCTTCCAAAAGAAAACGGAGTTGGTCATCTTCTAACGACTTTCACACTTTCCTCTAAGAATCCTCATCTGTCCACCCTACCCGGCCCAAGACCCACGACTTTCAACCAACCATGATGGTACCCTCCCCAAAATGGATCAACCTCAATAGCGATTGGTTCAATTGATGGCACCATCAAAAAACATAAATAAAGTCTTTCCATGTCACCCGCAGAATTGACTCGTCTCGCCGCCTCGATGGTGAATTGCTCTTGCTTCCACAGCTCCCGTGCGTCGCAGGTCTCTGGCGAGATCTCGCGGAACTTCTTCAAGCCCCGCACCCTGCAGTTTGGTGCAGTCTTGCACCAACCCTTTTTTGTGGGAGATGGTGGGAGTGACGAAGAATGTCTGGGCCCGAAAAAGCGCGTCAAGTTCAAAAGTCACAAGACCTTTGGTCAGCTTTCGGGGCCAGGGCCCGAAAATCTGTCTCCGCGGTCCACACTCGGGTCGGTCCTCACAATCATGATGCAAAACTCCACCAGGTCCATCAACCCGGAGCCGTCGGTGTCAAAGTACTCAAAAAATTCCTCTTGACAGTCGCTGAACTCGAACAAGAATTTTGATGCCAAAGGCGGAACTGGGGGATGTCTTTCACGCTGGCGTGGATGGAAAGGAATGAAACCATGTTCTTGACAGAATGCAAGGCTCTTGGCGAACAGCAAGGTCTTGCCACGGTCTTGCACCAAGAATTCTGAGACAAGACCATGACAGTTCGAAGTGATGGACTACAGAAGGTCAGACGGCAGAAGCTTGACCAAAACCATGAATTATTTTCCCTTCGGTGGGCACTGTTTGTCTCCAAGGGCGTTCAGTGACCAACTATATAACCTTGGCGACTTCGATTGTTACCAGTTCGGTTGGGTGGTATCCTGATGTATGAAGCGTTACATGTCAGCCATTGTTGGATCCACTAAATCAGGTAGTCCCTGCCACCACCAGTGTGGTGGAAAAGGTGCAGTATAAAGGTATTCCCTGCAAAACAAGGTTGGAAACCTGTGGCCTGACTGTTGGTTCACAGCCAGTGGAATAGCACGGAAGGCGGGTGGGCTCGAATTCACAAACCCCTCTTTGAGATGTGTACAAAGCAGTTTGTTAAACCTGGGCCTGGGAGCTCGATGCACCGCTCACGCCGTGCACGGCGTCCCGCAGGCAAGCCATGACAAATATATACAGAACAAATGTAGAGACCCCCAAACAGAATCAAACATAGAAACTATCACAGTTTAATTGCATTTCCTAATCCATCTTGGCCGCTTGGAGACACAGACTCTGCACCTACCCTTATTTTTTTTGCAGCACAAGGTCCGTGAATTTCATTCTCACATATCCTGACCGGATTCTAAATTTTAAGATCATCGGCATGATCTCCTTCAGCTGCACCTTCGTGAGCGTGGCACCCATGCGCCGGAGGATCTTGTCCAGGTCCGACTTCGTCAGTCCACCTCGGTGGTCTGACTTCCACTGCTCCAGTTGGTCGGTGGATTTGGATGGTGGCGATGTTAGTGTTGAGCAACATGATCATGACGGTAGTCGAAAGCTTCCGGAAAGGACTAGTGACCTAGCGCATAGTCATCGGAACTATCCTCACTTGTGTCGGACATGTCCGATCATAACATGGGAATGTGAGGCTCTGTTTTGCGTATCACCTTGGTGTTTGAAAGTAACATAAAGTGACACACATCAAAAACACTTTGCTTGACCAATCGTGAGATGCTTTGCCCCTTCCTTTCGGTGGTGTGCTTGAAGATGCGGCGGTACTCCACAACCTCCTCTTGTTGCAGGTACCTTGGCAAACGCACGCTTTCAATAGCTGTATCTATGTGCGACTCATGCACTCATGCACTTGAACCCCAGTCTTCCATAGTCTTCCTTTCACTACTCAAGTCTTCAAGTTAGTTGTGGCAGCTTCACGACTTCACATGCGATGGAGCCAGCAAAGATGCTAAAGATGCGCCAATGCCAATGCATTGGCTTTTATCCATTTGACAAACATGGTGTGGCCAAGTCTGAGCCTTCATTCATAGAAACAAAGATGTGATTTGATTGAACACGTTGAAGTTTTAAGATACTAAAATAACGTGTCGATGTCATGCTTTTTGGACTTGTCTGAACCAAGGGGCTCTCGATAGTTGATGAGCTTGCCTTAGTTCGAATACTGTTGGAAGTTGCACCACTGACGGCAAACAAACACAAACTGAACGTTCGCCTCACAACACAAGCCTAGCCTAGCTGCAGATTGGAACCCATATAACAACATGTCCTTCACACTGACCAAAGGTCTTTGCAACTCTTGATTGAGTGACCCTCCATGGTGCCTTGGTCTACAAGACAGGGGCTCCCCTCAGCTAGAAAGAACTTCTTGAACCTTTGATTCAGTGAACATGTTCAAATTCAATTAAGGAACTTTGTTGAGTCATGGCAACCCGAAAAGCTGGATTAAGATACTGTGATATTCTATTACCGGAAACAACTTCAAAACTATTGAGCATTAAACTTTCTACACGCAACATGCGTGAAGGAACGTGTGTTGCATAACCGTGTTTCGATCCACATGCGTCTCTCGTTTTGTTTTTGTTCAGCGTATTTCAGGTTGGACTGAAAGAATCGTCTGCAGCCCAAGACACGTGCCTTGGTAAGCACTGCGAATCCAGCACAAAGCTGATGAAAGTTCAGAGTCCCATGGCACATAGGGTCAACCTGTGGAGCAAAGTTGCAAGTGAGAACAGTTGAACACTCCTACATCATTGGTGAAGCTAGCAAATCTAGATTATATTGTCTGACTCTGACTGATGTGACTTGGCAAAAACAAATCTCAACAAATCCGTTGGGAGGAGCAACAGGATTGGACACTGAGGCTTGCGATGTTTGGGGTCTTCATTGATCTGTCTGCTGTCTTCTACTCCTGCACGCGCACTGAGGAATCTAGATCATCACCATGCTGAAACAAGGCAGGAGCTACTAGTACCGTCCTTGTTCCGAGTAGCGATGCCCTTTGTTACTACAGTAGTAGCTTCTTGCTCCTGGTAGTAATGCCAGGAGCTACTAATCACGGAGGAACCTACTCCTGGCTGACCTGGCGCTCCCGCTGCTCTCCCGCTCAGAATCCGCTGCCTCCGCGACCACCTCCTCATAATCCGTGCGTGTGGCTCGCTTCTCAACCGGTGTCTTCTCAGTCCAGGGTGCCAGGCTTTCCACAATGGAGCAAAAGCTCTCCAAACCAATCAAGCCTGGAGAGCTTAGATTCCTAGCTCTTGCTGGATCAAAGCATACGGAGAACGCACATGACATGACAAATCAAAGCTTCCAGGCTTGTTTTTCCTGAATTGTAGTCCTCCCCCTACAAACTCAGCATCTGTCTCATATGTGGGAGCTGAATACTGAGGTGTTTGCATTCAATTTGGATTCTTTTGCTTCGCCCACCTGTGTTCTTCTGATCATACCGAAGGAAAATACTTTCCAGTTTGGCCACCTGCCGCTCGGTGAGATACTCCCGGTAGTCCTTACAAAGGACAACCAAAACGGGGCATAGACTTGACACAAGAGCAACCAATACAGTCACAGTTGGTGAGGCATCTGATATTCCCCCCAAAAGTTGCATCTTGGATCTTAACATCTCAAAGCTTCCCCAAATTCCGTGTCATGTGATGAGATCTGGAAAGAAAACACACATCAGTAACTTGACCGAACAAAAGCGTCGCCAACGTGTTCAGAACTGAACAAAGGGTTCCCTCGAAAAAAGGGTTCCCTATCATAACTCCAGTCCCACACCAAGAAGCGATTAAGTCCGCTCGTGGGCGAGCGCCACTCATTTTGATTTCCAGGATGCACAGCTCTTCGAAATCGATGGTGCCATTTCCGTCCTGAACTGTTTGACTGATCAGGGGCTTCTCCACAAAAACCATCATGAGCCTTACAAGACATGTGCTGATTGTACACTTAGTGTAATTCACAGCCTATGCAAACCATACTGCGTGTGCCAGTGACCAGTCAAGTTGAACAACCATTGCTCAAGACTTGGTTGTTGTATGTCCGTTGTAGCAAAAGCCAATATCAAGAGCAAACCACAAATGAGCTGGGCGAGGCAGCAAGTTCACCAAGACACAGCAAAGCTCAAGGTCTGTCGTGCTTGGAAGATGTCTGTCGTTTTCAAGAACTGAGTTCTCGAGGATGGCCTCGAACGATTTGTGACAAGCTTCCGTATCGATTTCTGCCAGAAGAGATTGAAGGTGAGTCCTGCTGACCTTCTTGCCGATGGCTTTGAACCTGAGTTGTGCTTTGCTCGTGCGTTTCAAGTTCAGTATGAAGTTTCTTCCACCCTTCATGTATTTATATAAATTTATATAATATATATATATATATGTTATATTAGACACACATTAACAAATAACCATTGATAATTACATTCTAAATCATTCTAACAATGCTTAAACATGTGATGAGAAGAGTTTGCGCCATTTGTGCCAACCTAATGTCCCGCAGCGACATGTCAACAAACTGATCCATTGGGCCAACAAATCGACACCAACAAAGCCAACACCCCTTTACTGGGCCCCTGAGCTTGCACACGAGAGCCCACAGGTCGAGAGGAACTTGTTGCCGCGTGACATCTGATACAATTCTTTGATGGAGATGACCCCATCCCCGCTCATATCATATTGTTCATGAGCTCGGCGCAGCTCTTGAATCGTCTCAGGCAAAAAGTACTCCCGGTAGTCCTTGGGAGGTTCGGTGGTCCAAAACAAAGCATGCTGTGTAAACGCAGCGAGACCAATATTCTGAAACCCACATAAACCAACAATGTATAACGGGAGTTGAACCTCCTGTAAACTAGCCTCTTCACTTGTACTTGGAACCAGTCCCTCAGCAGGGAGAGTAAGCCTCTGAATAATTACATGTTTTATCATGTTTTGCTGAATGAAGATTTGCGTTGTTCGCAGGATTCAGCGATCAAAAGGATTCATTCTTTTGTTTTCAGTCACAACATGCTCCCAAAGCTGCATGACTGTACGATACAAACGATACAATCTTGTTTGATTCTTGAGCACGTCCAACCGTGCTACGGACCCAGTTGGGTGCTTCGAGCCCTTCTGTTCTGCCATGTATCAATGTCCACGGCCATCTCATCTCATGGCCACAGCAGGCACACCACAATGCAGCGCTGGGCACATGTGGAATGTCAAGAAAAGCTTCCCATAGACCCAACAAAGGACTATGTGTAATTTTATGGACATTGCTTCCTCAATTGGGTTGCGGGTGGACGGTCGACGGCTTTGGAAACGAAAGTGAACTGTTGGCAAGAACTCGCTGTTGTTGTTGTTGTTGCTGTTGGAATATTTCTGATGACTCTTGGTAATTGTGCCACTTGTCTACAAGACTGAAAGGGCAGTCTTTACGGGATCCCCCACTGTGCGAGGAGCTTTGTTAGCCGCTCCTTTTGGCCGCTGTCCCTTGGGACCACGGCAAGCGGCAATGGCCACGCTGAAACCAAACGCCGGCATGGTTTCCAGCACTCGCGATGGCAGTATAGAAAGGAAATGACAGGAATATATATTATATAATACGAGGGACAACCATGCAAATGACTTGACGGTTCTTTTATCCTGAAAACTTGGGTACTGTAGTCGGTTCAGTCACCACACACATCTTCAGGCAAGGCCCCAGTCAGAGTATGAACCCCATATGTTGTGACCGGAGTGATAGTCATCTACAGCAAGTGTCAGTTATCTGAGTGATAGTGATGCGAGTGATGGGTCTGTGATGATGATCTCAATGATAGTGATCTGACCGATAGTGAGCGGAGGTGGGATAGCGAGACAAAAAGTAAAAACAATCGGAAGACAAAATGTATTCCAAACAAGGCAAGAACAATCAAAGCAAAGCCGTTTGTGACCTGGCTCAACGGACCCCTTCAACTTTTCCTGCTTCTAGTATCTCCTAGTTGTATAGAAGAATCTGCTTGGCAGATCCCAAAAAGAAAACACGCCTCCGATAAACTGATAAACTCCTAAAAAGACCTTGCCACAATTTCATCTGCGAAAACTGGCGTCTCCATCCTGTCAAATCGATCGGAGCGGGTGTCACAATTGAATCGATGAGCGGCTGCTGAGGATCCTTTCAGGCAGTACCGTGTTTCACAGTCCGCACAAGATTGTCTCTGATTGGTCTTGAGCAGAAGACCTTGGCCTTTTATTTGTGCTTGTCTGGGCACAAATGGAGCTCAGAAACCTACTTTGTCGGCCCATTACATCTTTTGTAGGAGACCTTCCACTCTGCTTTGGCACCGGCCACACTCTTGCGACTCAAGAAGTATTTTTCTGTGCTCCAGTGATTGGAGCACCTGCTTGGAGCACCTGCACGTGCATCCAAACTCATCCAAACGCCACGCTTAGAAATTCTCGTGGAGTCGCTCTTGTGCCCGGCAAACGATCCACTCGGCCAGTCTCCTGCGTCCGGGCCAGTCTCCGGCGGATCCACCGCTTTTGAAGGACCAAAAAAGGCCGGCACGACTTCTCAACATGGTGGACTCAAGTGGGTCTGGATGAAATGCAATCATGACGCAAACGGTTCCTTTCAACATGATGTGTGGGAGGCTACCTTTTGAATCCTTTTGACTCACTGAAGAGTGAGTCCGTAGGAGAACGAAACTTTCCCGACGAGCATGAAGTGCGAGTCCAAGTGTGAGTGTGTGTGGTCGCCTGATCGATAGTATTAAAGGCTCCATTTCTTTTGCTATAGGAATCAAATCTCACGCACTCTCACGCATGTCGCATGGCCCGATCGATGACCTGCGTTTCGCGGACCGGGGAAGACTGGCTTCGAGACGAGTCTCCGCTCCTTGGAGAGAAGTCGCAGGCATGGAGCTTGGGGAAGCGAAGGACCAAATGGATCTGAGAGATCGGAGAAGCAAAAGGCATGGACGGCGACGGCGGACCACGATCTAGCATCTTGAAGTTGTCTTGAGGATCTAGGATGATCGGATGGATCAGGGATGGATCAGGGATGGATCTCATGAGAATGTCTTTCAACATCTTTCAAACAATCTCGGTCCAGGGCTGTCAGGGTGTCAGGGTTTCGTGCAGCTGATTCCATGACCCCTCTTTTCCGCTCAAAACGTACTGCACTGCCGGTCCATGTGGCCTTGGTGGAGATGTCAATGTCTGCAATGGAGATGAACCCCTCAAAGAGACACGGTAAATCCCGACGCTCCCTGGCGATTCTGGCGGAAAAGCAAAAAAACAGAACATCGGAGAAGCAAAAAAGAATAGGCGTGATTAAAGTTCGATGTCAAATGCTGTAGGCTTGTATAGACCCGCCCTAAGTCGTCCTACAACTGCTTTGCATCGAATCCATGTGGAGACTAATCAGTGAGCATGGTGACCTTGAGCGGATTTTGTATCATCATTGTAATGCCCTTTGTTCCTAGTAGCTTCTTTGCTCCTAGTAGTAAGGCCAGGAGCCCCTAGTAGCGTCCGATCGCTCCTAGTAAGGACATAAACCCACCAAGTCCACGCCTGAGCCTTTGAATGTGCCCATTGTTGAACACCAAGTCCAAGTGAATATCGCCGTAGGCGTCCTGCGGTACCACATCACACCCAACCTTTTGCATCCCCTTGCAATATCCTGAGTTTATTGCAGCTGTTTTCTACCTTGGCAAAGTCCTCCAGAAAAATCACATACAAAAGAAAACGCGCAACACATCTGAGGGGAGCCGGGGCGAGGGGTGTTGCGGATTCCAGGTCATTCCAGAAAATTCCAGGTCCGGTGATTCCCTTTTGTCGTTGAGCCGCTTGAGCCGCTCCTGGATGTTCTTGGACAGGCCATTCTCCAAGGTCTCATGCATCATCTTGACCTGCATGGCCGTCCAATCCCGGGCAAACAGAATTGAGGTGGCTGTGCACAAATCAGTTTCTCTTTTGGATGGTCACTGATCAATCTCAAACAACCTACTGAAAAATAGGCCCGATCAACAAAGCATGGGCAAGTTATGATACAGCTGATCCTGACCCATGACCTCTTGCGAGCCATCCATCCAGTTTTGCCCGACTCATTGCGGCTGTTAGGGAACAGCTGCTCAGTCCGGCCTCTTTGGGCGATCGAAAGTCCTGGCCATTTGAAAGTGTATCATGAGGAGACAGGGACGAGGAGACATCCCTCCAGCTGTTCCAAGTTTTCGAAGGGGGCTGGGTGGGTCAAGGAAGGGCTCTCCAGTTTTTTCCACAAGCCCGTGTTGGAGACGTTGGGGACGGTCTATCCCTGAAAGATGCAAGACGTTTCAGAGTGGCAGGTCCTCATGTTGGGAAACAAATCTCCCTAATGTGAATGGACCAGTGAGCATGTGTTGGTGTCAGAGTTGCAGTTGATTCCGGAGCACCTAGGTGGCAAGGCGGAACACAAGGAAAGCATAAGTCACTAGTCGTTCTCTCTTCCAAATGCCAAAAGCAACACTGTACTTGGTTTACCTCTGGGCTTTCAGCATCCAACTACTGAACAACCACGATTAACCACCCGCACCACCCTTTTCACGACCTTCTCGGGACGTCCTGTGAAAGGGCTTGTGCCTTGTGATCAACGAACGTTCCAAGCTGGAACCCCAGCTGCGGCTCCAGGGTATCCAGTTCCTTGAGGATTCCACATGGCACCCCAATCGATAGAGGTCCAATCAAACCCCCCAGCTCCTGGGGCTGGTGCTGGAGCTCCTTCCGGTGCGGCTCCTGCTCCAGCCCCTTGAGGATTGAACATGGCGCCCCAGTCGATGGACCCCCAATCAAAAGTCGACCAATCCATCTTTGACCAGTCCATGTTTGCGATGTCGGGGCTGGCGGCTGGAGCAGGAGCTGCAGCTGTAGGTGCTGCTGTAGCCGGAGCTGCAGCTGTAGGTGCTGCTGTAGCCGGAGCTGCAGCTGTAGGTGCTGCTGTAGCTGGAGCCATTGGCATGGGAGCAGGAGCCATGGGTGCAGGAGCTTGAGCGCTTGGTGATGCTGGTGGTGGATGTCCGGAGGGTGCCGTATGACTGGGTGGTCCTCTGGGCCATTGCATGCACATCTCAGCTTTCTTGTTCCACTCGAAGCCATCGAAGCATAAACACTTGCGCTTCTCACAGGACATAGGACCTGACCTCAAGGTAGGGCAATCAGAATTACGATTGCACTTGAGCTCAGTGTCTCGAAGTCTTAGGCGAGTATGCTTCTGCCATTTGAAGCCCCTCTTCAAGTGCACTGGATCGATTTGGCATTTGCCATCTTGAGCACACAATTCACCTCGGCACATGCACCTGCCATCTTTGGAGCACACACCTCGATAGGGAGGACACTCACCGTGCCCATTGCCGCATTTGTGCCCTGTATCTTGCTTGCACATACGGGTTGCTGGGCCGTTGTACAACCAAAACATGCAACGACCCTGGAGCTCACACTGACCATGCGGACACATGCACTGTTTGGAATGTGGATCGCATACACCTTTATTGTTGGGGCATGAACCATGCTTGCAACTGATCTTCACATCCTTGGCGCAATACTCACGGGGTCGGTTCTCTGCTTCCTCCATTTGCTCTGTCTTGTTGGCTCTCAGCTGCAGCGCGTTCAAGGCACAGTCAGGGCTCTCACACACATCCTCAGGCAGCCACTCGGCTGTGGCCAGCGCGGCCAGTGCCAGAGCCAGCATGGTGAGCGCCATGGTAGCACGCAAGGTGCACAAAAGAAGCACTATGTCACTATGTCACACTACTGCATGGAACCGAAGCAAAAGCTGCGGTTGTATGTGGTGACTCAAGTTGTTCCTGGTTCCCTAAAAACGTCGGCTTGAACTCTTCGCAATGGCATCAGTCCGGGATCGTGCCTCACTGGGAAGAAGACGCTGTGCGAAAAGACGCGGCCGTCCATCTTGTGTCTCCTAGAATGGGGCAGCGATGCAAACCCAAGGTTTACGAAGCCAAAGAACCAGCCACAAGCAAGAATGGACCATATCTAGATCAACAAACTCAGCAAGAACACACACAGAAAACAGATTTTGGCACCTTTGGACAGTGGGTCGGTGGGTCCTCCAAATGGCCAAGCAAATGCATCGAAGGCAAATCATCATGTGCTGCTTGCAAAGCATTGCCTCGATCCTTAGTCATGCCGTCGTGATAGGAGGTGCCCGAGTCTCTGGCCCACTTACTTGGACGGTCTCAAGTTCTACCCGCTCAATTCTACTCATATACATTCATATACTGTATAAAAAACATATATAAAAATATTATATAATACTTGAGAGGAGGGAGACACGAAAGGTAGGACAGCGGGAAGAGAAGAGAACGCGAGAGGCAGGAACAAAAAAATGCAATGTTCGACATGGTGATTTATCCCCTCGGAGGTGACCTTCCGTAAATATAATGTCATATGCACTCTAAATGTTCAAACATATGCTCTCGAAATGTTCAAACATATTCCTAGGAAAACAAACTTGCCCCATGGCTCAGATCATCGGTGAGCATTGAATCGGAGCATCATAGGATTTGAACTATCCTGAAACCATAAGAGGCTCACGAAGACGTTCCCCAGGAGAGAATTGACGCGCCCACAAAACAAACTCTAGGTATGTATCCCCTCGGGGAACACCTTTCGTGATTAGAATTTCATATGCACTCTTTCTGAATGTTCAAGAGGGTTCCAACTATCCTGCTCACGAAGACGTTCTCCAGGAGAGAATTGAATTTAGAGGGGGGGGGGTCGGTATTGAAAAATCAATTCCCCGGGGGGGGGGGGGGGGGTCTGTATTGAGAAATCAATTCGAAGGGGGGGGGTTGAATTGAACTATCAATTATTAGACCCGGACGCGCCGACACTTGCTTCGCAAGACAAACTCTAGGTATCCCCTTAGGGGCTACCTTTCGTGATATAATACCTACAAATATGATACTCTGAGATGGTTGAGACTCCACGCTGGCGTCCTCTAAGCTCCTTACCACATGCACCAGGAAGTAGATTTCACCCACTGGCACCCTTGGCAGTGCGACTCGAGAACGACGAGAACGAGAACGACGATTCGGGTAGCTCGCCCCGAGACTGTCTCGACCAAAACCGTGTCACCCGGCTGGCTTCACGAGTTGCCGGAAATGCCCCGAACGCTTGGCTGGAGATCAAAGCTGCAATATGATTCAATATGAAAGCATGGATTCGATTCAATCTTTCTCCCCAGCCACTTTGACTCTTGTCAACGCTCCGTGTTCGTTCCATCGAACTTGCAGAAAAACCCGTCGCAGGCCCCAATCATCACCTGTGCGCTCCCCTGTTCCACAGTCGGTGCCTGAACTTGCAGGGAGTGATGATGGTGATGCCATGGAGTTGTGCTTCGATCTTCACATTCACAAACCTGGCATCGTCTCTATTCGCACATCCCAGGACTGCTTGGGCCACATGGGCAAGAGTGATCCCCCGATGACGATAGCCCAGTGATGAGGCGAAAGAACTGGTATAGACCACAAGGTGTTATATGATATATGATGGATGGATCATGATGGTGCTATTTGTTTCGGCAAGTCTAGTAAAGGACTTGCCAAAATGAATCTAATGAATCCAATGCTTTGCCTCATGCTCTGACCAAACAGCGCTTGACTTCCAAGCAACCAACTGAAGTACTTGTCTATTGAATTTAATATTGAGTCTGCTGAACACTCTTTGGCTCCAGTTCCAACCATATCTGGCGCAGGGAATGTGATAACACGTTGGATCGGCCCGTACTTCTCCATCATTCCATCGTCGAGGGAGCGGACAATGGCAGGACACTTCCCAGATGTGTGCACGAAGTACCTGCGAGTGGATCGGACTTGGCGATCCCCAAATGGATTTGGATCGCCAATTGCTTTCAGCACGTCTCACCTGTGTGCTCATCTCGTTGGACAAACATATTCACTTCTTTGTGGACACACCTGTATGCAAACGTCTCTCCATTGGATACTGGACACAACCACCATCTTCTTCAGACTTCAATTTAATATCAAGGTATATAAAGATGTTGTCAATGGCACATCTAGAGCCTTCATGACCCTTCCATATTCTTTCCCAGTTGCGTTGCCGCACCATTTTTTGCAGCTACACAGCACGAGCAAGGCCCTCAGCAGAAATTCCAACTGAGCTGTCTTTCGGCCAAATCCGTTTCCAATTCTTCTTGTAAGTGCAGCCCTTCTTTCGCCGAATCAAGCCAGATTTGAAGGATTCAGGCGCATAGGGTGATGGCTTGCCAAAGGCTAAATGCCAGGTGATAAAGTCATCTCGAAAGTGCTCCTGCAAAACCGAGGCAAAAGCAAGCTTGGAGTGCCAACACTGAACGACACATAATATATATATAATATATATATATATATTTACACACACATATATATATATGTATGACTTTATGGTTATGCATGTTCATAATTGTATGTATATAAATATATGTATATCAAGAGAGCACTTCGTGTGAAACATGCAGGTAACATATACATTTGTTGTTTGGTTTCAGTTTTTCAATCTGTTTTCCTGCAGCCAGCTATAATTATCCCGGCAAGAGACCCCAAACATTGTGTGTGTGAGGTCTGTAAGCAGAAAGTCTAGAGATCTAGACGCATTGGGGTCCAGAGAGGTGATGGTGGGTGTGAGTGTGAGGAGTGTGAATGCGAGTGGGAGTGGGAGAGTGAGTGAGTGTGCGTCTGAGTGCGCGTGTGAGTGAGCGTGAGAGTGAGTGTGAGCGAGAGTGAGTGTGGATGAGAGTGAGTGTGAGTGAGAGTGAGAGTGACAGAGTGAGAGAGTGAGTCTCTGAGAGCACAAAGCGCTGCGCCTGCGCCAACATCTGCACTTCCGTTCACAAAGTGCTGCACCTGCCACGAAATCTGCACTTCGAGGTGCGCCACGTACTGTGCCTGCCACGAATTCTGCACTTGGAGGTTCACCAAGTGCTGTACCTGCCACGAAATCTGCACTTCGAATTTCACAAAGTGCTGTGCCTGCCACGAAATCTGCACTTCGAGGTTCACCAAGCGCTGCGCCTGCCACGAAATCTGCACTTCGAGGTTCACAAAGTGCTGCACCTGCCACAAAATCTGCACTTCGAGGTTCACAAAGTGCTGCACCTGCCAGGAAATCTGAGCCCCTCGACGACCACCACCATGTCCAAAGTGCTGCACCTGCCACGAAAACTGCATGTCGAAGTATAACAGCTCGGATCCCTTGCGCCTCTCATGAAGGCTAAATGGAGGGTGTGGAGAAAGGGGGTCAGCAAAAGTCGCTTGTACGAAGTTAGTGCATCAAAAATACCTTCCACGAAGTTCTGCGAAGGTTTCTGGGATTTCGTTGCAGTCAGTTCTCCTACTGGCCCACCATTCCACGAACTGTCCACGAATAGCCTTGGGTTCTACGAATGTCCCGCGCCTTCCACGATGTTAGTAGAATTGGTTTTTGCAAACCCCTTTCTGTGCACTACCCTTCCGTTTGCCTTTGATCTCACGAAAAGTCGACTTTGGAGCACCAAAACATGAGCGCCTGCCACGAAAAGTCACCACCATGTGCGCAAATGCGCGCGGCACAGCGGGAGCGCAGTCGTTAGAAGCACCCGCCGCAAACACCCAGATTTGGCGAGCATGCGCAGTCGAAATGCACTTCGAGGATTTTGAGAGCATGAATGTACTGTAACGAATTAGCCGCACACGCCCGCGGCACAGCGATCTAAGCACAGCTGCTTTTCTATTACCGTAAAAACATTGGTCAGTCAATTCAACATGCTTCAACATTCGTCGCCACAAGAGTCATATGCTCAGCAGCATCACAACTACAGGACGCCCGACATTCGGCCATCCGCATCCTGGATCGCTGCCAAATTCCAAGCATCCAAGCATGAACAGGTCACATTGCTGCGCTGGGCCAAATCATCTGCATTCAACCTAGCAACATCAAAACAGCCAGAATGACTTTTGTACAATACGCGACGTGTTCCAAAAGCTCGCAGTGTGCCTTGCACAGTATGGCATCGTTGAGGTATACTACTTATCATCCGAAGGGTCTAGTAGAAGTCCTTAGGAGCAGCCTGTCTTAACACACCGCATGGAGCAACTTGCGACGCTTCGCTCAAACACAACTCGGCCGGCCGTGGCCTGGGTAAATTGAGGCTATGGAACTCGGGGCTCAATGCTCTCAAACGCTTTTGCAGATCTTGGTCCAGGGGCAGCACTTCATCCACTTTCCTGAGAAATTGATGGTGCGCTCGAGGGAAAATAAGGTGGATACATGTAGATTGAGGAGCAAGTGTTTTGGCAATCCGAAGTAGTTGGAGTTATCAGATTTATCAGCATACAGTTACATATTATATAAATTGTTGAATTATGTATAATTATGTTGAATTTGTAAAACTTCAACAACATGGCCTTCTCGCTCATCACAACATTTTGTTTGAAGTACGAGTAACAGCCACAAAGCCCTGGACTCTGGACGAACACTTGGAGGCTTTGTTCTCACAATGTTCATCGAGCGTCGACAAATAACACCACTGAGGAATCATATGGCAGTCTTCCACATCAGAGGATTGCTGATACCGCGCTAGCACTGCCCGCACCCATGAGTTGAACATCGAGCAGGTTGGAGGAAATTCCTTGATCACCCCGTAGTCCCTGCGGCCATCGTTGCAGCGTGGCCCCGAACAGAATCATTTGACATCATTCGACATTTACAGCTGCACAGCTCTGTTGCTGTGTATGGAGAGCTTCGGTTTTATTGAGAACTGTGCATATTTGCTTCGGGTTTCATTCGACCGTATTACCGGTGGAGTTGAGTTGATTGCACAGCTCTTAAGACACCGAAGCTTTTCCAACCCGAAGCCGCTCCTCTTTTTCATCTCCACCGGGCCTGTAGTAAATGTCAAACCAAGCCAGTTTCTGAGCCCAAGTGAATTCAGAGGCCAAGCGTGAGCAGGGCTCTCGGATCACGGCAAAACTCCGCTGCACGTGCTCCTGCGTCTTTTCCGTCGAACCCGCTCAATCAAGGCAACAAGAAACTGTCTCTTCCCTTGAGAAGCCCAGGGACCTTGGGAAATTGCACGTGTGGCAAGCACATGTCTCGCCAGCGAGATATGTCACATTGTCTTCAAACAAGCGCAACTTGCGTGCAATGTCCTTGCGACCGATACAACCACTTTCATCCATTTTCCAAGCTTTGTGTTTTGCCCCCGTGTACTGTAAACATTTTCGACAAGGGCTTGACTCGAACTTGAATTTGCAAATCATTGATCACCGTCGAACAAATCCTTGATGATCAACACTCAAACATGTACAATGGGGCGAGGTACACTGACACGAATGACTGAAGATTGCCTATTCAATTAATTGATATTAATTGGTGTTTGTTCAAGGCAAACTGCAGTCTCAATCAGCAACCGCGCGCACACTTATCATTGCAACAAACCTCGAACAAACCCATGCAGCGACAAGAGAATCAGGTTGGGTCGCATTCCGCGTCTAGATTCCTCAAGTAGGGATATCAAAACAACGTTTGACCAGTTTGTTGCACTTTGCAGACCTTGTTGTTTCTTGCGTCGAGACTTACTCACGGAGTCAGGACAAAGAACGGCCCAATCATCGGTCCTTTGGAGGGTTGTGCTTCAAACAGGAGAAGGGCACCTGCGGCAGCCAAAGTCTTGAAACAAATCATACAATTTATATATTGATGGATGTGCATCACCTCTGAACAAAGTGGGTTTCATTAGGGAACCCCCTGTTGAGGGGAACACATCCATATAAGGAGCTGTGCATCACCTATATAGTGAACAGTGAACCATAGGAAACTCGCAAGTGGTTTTATGGAATTCCCTGCGTGGAGTTGCCTGTGGCTCCCCATTCTCTATTTTTGGGGATAAACTTTCTGGGATACCTTGCCTCCAAATCGTTCCCTCCTAGTACACACGGTCTCAGTAGAACCCCATGGATTGCCGGTCTATTTCTTTCAATCTGAGGCTTGCACATGAGTTTCCAAAAAAAATGTCACCAACTTGCACTTGGAAACTTGAACTCGCTAGTCCTTTTTCTGGCTATAGGCTATATCAACCAACATCAACATCTTTTGTTTGCAAATGATAAATGCAACCATTTCCCACCTCGGGGTATCGGTTGGAGTCTGAATACGATGGACCAAGAGCTGCCCAAATTGACGTTCCTGCTGTCTTGGGTATATGGACAAATAACGGCAATGTCTCCTGCGCCGATGTATTCTCTCTGCGAAGCAAGCTGGAATTCTTGGTCTCATTCACATGACCTTGGTTGCCGGGGCTCAAGTTGACTTGTAAAACATAAAAATGTTGTTCCGGCGATGTGCCACGGGTTGATGCACTGAGCTTCATCTTTGAGTGGGCAACAGTGCAATGCAACTAGCACTGTAGCACCCAGCTAGGGATCCAAAGCAATTGGATGCTTTGAGTTCCCCTTTGTTTTCCCCCTGCAAGCAGGTTCTTTATATACATCTCAATACAAGTCACAAACAGGTTCCTGATGTTCCTCTTTCCAATGGTGTGAACAGAAAAAGGAGAACTTGGGACTATTGGAATCCGCCCGGTTACGCCGAAAGGGGGCTGATACACTAGCTCCCAAAGCAAGGAGGCATTCCAGCGCACACTTTTGCTAGCTCACAAGCTCAGCTGCCACCAGCTGGCCCTAGCGGAGCCTTCAAGGCTCCGTTGCCCAGAGCAACTGGTCGCCATTGGTCATTGGCCAAGTGTCTCGTGCCAGCAGTGTCCGCCTCGTTCGGCTGCCAAGCGCAGGGCTTGCCGTGGTGAAGCTGTGCGAAATCTGGCCACCTGGTCCAAGAGCCAAGAGACTTTGTCGCAAGATTGGCAACAACTTTTGAGGGCCGCCACAACTTCGGCTTCATGCGGATGTTGTGGGCGGTGCTTCAAGCCTGTGACAAAGACCTTTGACAAAGACCTTTGCTCCCGCGTTGTAGAGAGTCTTGCTTTTTGTTCATGTCTCTCATAACCTGTCGGTGTGACCACACAGCGCGCTTAGTCATCAGTGTGAAGGCTTGCTGAAAGTTGCACGTTACCTCCCAGAAAAAAACATCATGTGCCACCGGAGGCTGCCAACAATCAAATGAACGCCGCTGCGAAAACGGGCAGCTGATGTCCTCGGTCAACAGGTGGAAGGCGCCCAGTTGCAAGCACAAAGCTCACCATCAGTTCAAGTGAGGAAACACTAGGCAGCTCTTTGAGATCACTGAGTCCAAAGAAGCAGGAGCCTCCCAAATCGTCCCCCACACAAGTACCACTTGAGAATATCATGCGTGACCCTCCGAAGAGGCAGTGGACGCGCAACTTCATATGCTGCAGGCCGGACATAAGGCGAATAGGTGGCACCCCACATACCATTGGTTTGTGATTTGTGGACCTGGCCCGGCCCTGGTCCAATTCTTCCTGGAGCTGCACACCTGTATTGCCAAACATGGCTTAGCATGGTTTCCCCTTTTTTAATTCGCCATATGAGTTCGCATAAACTGGAAGCAACTTATGCAACCACTTTGCTGCCCTTAGCTTGGTCAGCCGCATTATTTCCACAAATGGCTTCCAATTCTCTATGCCTAGTGGCACCCAATGTTGTTTGGTGTGTTTTAATCGACTTTTCGATATGTTGACCTGCCTGCCTGGACATCACGAAACATTGCGAGAATACAGTCAACATGTGCTGGTTTAGCCAGAGACCGTGGATCCTCAACTTCCTTCATTGCACCAGAACAAGGCCGCAGCCATTCCAGGGAGTGCATGCAGACTGACATAGAAGCCGTGCGCACCTTCTTTTGCACTTCTAGAAGCTGCAGCAAAGGGTCCAACAAAGCACTGCGTTTCTGCTTCAAAAGTGTCTTGTGTGCAAATTGGGCCTGCACTGCAAAGCCTTGAAGATACTGCAATACAACTCAAGCCCAATGGCATCATCAGCAAAGGGGCATAAGAAAGCCGCACGATCCTCACCGTCTAAGCAGAGAGAGCAAACCAGCTCAGGGCCCAAAAGTTCAGCACCGGAGTCACACCGCCGTAAAGGGCGAGGCAGTTGAAGCCACTTGCCCTCTGGAGACGTAGCAATCTCACACGGCTCCTCCCCAAGCTAGCCGCTTTGTCAGCCGGTAACCAAGGCCAGCATCCACAAACAAGAAGAAACACGACACGTGTGTGCAAACAAATAGCCTGCATAATGCTAGCACTCGGAAACACCAGGAGAAAGAAACTCAGCTCCCTTAACCGGGCAAACATGAGCAAACAGCAAAGCAAACACAAAGAAAAGCCAACTAAGGCTATGCGCGAAATAATGCGAAATAGTACATAAACCAGCTAGCATCAGCTAGCATCAGCTTCTTCTGCCGAGGGACGTTTCGCAGTGATGCTCGAAGCCTCAAGGTTGAAAATCCAACCTCAGGAGTGAAACCATGTGAAACCGTTTGACCACATAGGCGTGTTTTGCACTTTTTTTTGACCAGAAAGGGAGAGCATGAAATCCTGTGGAGGAAGGCCATGTGTGCGCCGTAGGCTTAATATGTACCACAGGTATCACGTCAGGATTTCGGAAAGACCTAACGACCATGTGCCAAGGCCAAGTGACAGGAGAGCAGGACCGCCCGAAACGCAGCGATCATCTTACGGCCTGAAGAAACCTCGAGGTTTCTCCACCGGCATGGGGCACGGAGTGAAACCTCCACGCATGCGTAAGCAAGAGCTTCCTTTTTTGGCAGTCCCGATACATTGTCAAGCCCTTGCTGACCCTTTGTTGATGTTTGTCATGTAATCAGAGTGTCTGCATTGGGCAATCTCTTCTGTTGTGAATTGGCCTAACTTAGCAACTGCAAAAAAAACAGAATCAGCCGGCATCAACGGAAGTGTCTCCTCCGACCAGTGCAATCCAGTCATCACCCAAACACATGATTCAGCTACACACGGTCATGCCATCCGAAAAGCCTCCCCGAACTTCTATATCTTCCCATCTTCGCATCTTCATCTCTTCACATCTTATTCCAACTCTTCGCCCAGTTCCCGGCGCACCGCAAGAGGCCGGGATACACCTCGCGGGGCGCCTCCGTGGAGCTGGCGGAGAACCTGGCAGTTGGAGAGAAGGAAAAAGGCTCAAAGGACCAACTCCACCTGGAACCACGCAGGATCCGAGTGCCGACGGCATTCGTTCCATGTGCCGAAACCTGCCGACGTGCGGAGGCGTCCCATCTGCCAACGAGCAGCTTCAACTCGTAGTAGTGCCGAGGCAAGGGGAGCTTCACTCGGACCTGCCAGCGGTTTGGGGCCGCGGTTTGGGGCACATGTGTCTGGGGAAGAAATACGAGGAATTGTGGTAATCAAGAACCCAACATGATCAAATCCATGGCTTCTCCTGCATCATCAACTGAAAGAAGAAATCTGGGTTTTGTACAACGGTTGGACCATACAAAGATGATCAATGATGTGGGATGTAAAGGATGTGGGTATGTAAAACAAACAAACAAAACCCCAGAAAACAAACCATGTGGGATCGGAGAACCTTCCCTTTGGCTGTCAGATTCCAAACTTGATTCATGGATCTTTCTGGGATGTCATAAGCCACTGCCGTATCCCTCAGCTTGAAGCTGGCAAATAGCTAGTAGGTTGGAGGCCATTGCTAGTAGGTTGGATCTAGGTTGGAGGCCATCGCTAATAGAAACAAAAAAAACAGAAACGGAAGAAATGTCTAATATAGTTTTTTGGGACACAGGGGGATCCCTTCGTTTCCGATGCCCGCTGACTCACTGAGAGTTTAGCTCTTCTCCTCCCACAAGGCTGCTTATCACTGCTAGCTTTGCATCCAATTCCAACAATATGTCATGAACATTGCCATTCGTTTGTGAATACAATCAATGGAAGCAATGCAATTTGAACCATGCAGCAACTGTTACTCGTACACACCAATCTTTTTGGATCTTGGTTCATTGGAACTGTTCCCCAGCGCTGGGTGTCTACAAGCTCCACAACCCGCCTGATGTTAAACCCCTGTTGTTAAAGGTACGGTAGACTGAACCAACAGGGTCTTTGTCGCGATTCTGATAGTGGGAACTTGAACCCAATTGTTTTTAAAGAATACAAATATACACTCTGAGCTGCAAACCAAAAAGATGCGATCTCGCAGCTTGATGGTGTGACAAGCTCGCAAGACCTCAGGCCAAGGTCCAACAGCAAAGGCTGTCAGAATGGCTGCGGAGTTCCACCTGATTCCAACTGTCTTTGCCGCCCGAATGGGGTCCTATAATACCTACAGTATACCCTGCCACGTGTGACATGTCACATATACCCTGTGGCCCCCTACATATACCCTTGCTGCCTACAATATACTCCGTTCGTCACATCGGAAGATGAATCGCATTTCGTCGTCCGTTCCACTCAGCCTCCAGCCTCAGTGAACTCTCCATCAAACCTGTGGGTCTCTCAACTGAAGGGTCCAAGTCTGATTTTAGGTCAGAAGAGCCTGGTCGTGCTTTCTCTAGCCTTTTCCTGGCCATCTGTCGCTGAAGCCATGGACCTTTTTGGGTTGTTGTGTCATATTCAGTCTGGAAACTCGACATCTACCAACAGAGTTGTTTCATTTATGTTGTCAATCATCACGCATCGGGTGCTTTCAAGCACACTCATGTTACCCAAAGAGACTCAGCCTGGACGTCGCCCCCCAGTGCTCCGGGCTCCGCCTCTTCACCATGAGCGTCCCCCAAATGGACGCCGCCGAAGAGCGCAAGGTCAGCACCAAGTCATTGCTGTCGCGCGGTCAGCGGTGCTGTCAAATCCGAGGATGCAAGGGCAGTGTGGGACTTCCAAACCCTCAAACCGCATCAGGACTTACAAGTATGAACAAATAGTGCAATTGCAAAGGTTGCTGAATTTCAAACTCTCAAGGGGAACAAACATCTCTTAGGTTGAGCATCATTCCTGCCTGGCCACGGAAATTTCCCGGCCCAAGTGAGACAAGGGCTCAATCTGCAGCTCCTTGCGTTGCCTCGAGGAGCGAGACATTTTGTGCAAGCACCAAGGGGGTTCTCTTCAAACCAATGTGGATCAACACCCGAAGACTCAGACTCTCCACTAGCTCTGGACTCAAAGCAAGGGAGATCAAGGAGTGTCAGTCATGCGCCATGCCTGTCCCTTTTTCAACCAAATAGGCCACGATGAGAGGACTCAGCTATCGTGGTAGCACGCGTTTGTCGCCTCCAATCTGAAACTTCACAGCTGCAAGGACTAGCACTCCACAGCTGTGACGTTGACGCGATGTGACACATCTGTAGAGCACTCAGCGCTGTGATTTGTCCTCTCGGCGCGTCTGGCAGCTGACTCGTTCAAGAGGAGCAGGAGCAAAGTCAAAAGAGAGGAGATGACCAAGCTGATGAGGCAGGAGCCAACCAGAATGCCGTTGCCCAACATCCAATAATTCAGCTCCACCTTCTCAGGATCGACTACCCATTGGACAAAGATGGGTCTCTTTGCAGTGGTTAACCTGTAGGCCGCTACTGCCTGCTTTACTGCCAGGATATGCTGCTGATTAGCTTGCAAAACGAGCCCAGCATGTGCTTTCTCATCCCAGGCATCGTCGCACTCAAAGGTGCCTCTGCTACAACAGTCAGTGCCTGCAGCCCAAAATTGGATTGGGCCGCCACTGGCGTCGATGACTGGAGCGACACAATAGGTCGTACCATCCTTGAAGCTCATGCCTCTGGCCACATCAAGATGGGCCTCCTCCGCAAATACCAGCTTTCCGGCATCCAAGTATCCGGCTGCTGGTTCAGAAGGCAACACGTTGGCATAGGCATGGCTATCATGGTACATCCAATATATTGAATAGAAAGTTCGGTAAGCAACCAACCCAAGGATACAAGAAACTAATACTCCGGCTATGCAAGAGACCGGCAAAACTAATTGCCACTGACGATCCCCAGGATAATGACGAATGTGCCACACGCATACAGCAAGCAAAGACAAAACGATGAGCCACACAGAGAGTGGCATGCCATGGTACGTTGACGCGAACAAGTAGCTCACAAGAACTCCAACCAGCCAAGGAAACAGCGTGAGCACTGCGAGCTCCACAATATTGAGTTTAGCCCAATAACCAAGCGCGTCTTCGTCACGCCATTGCTTCATTGCCGCCGAAATTCTATGGCTTCTCTTTGGAAGCCGCTTGAGATCGCTGAGAAAGTTGAAGTGGCAGTCCCGTTTCTTGCGCAAAGCCCGCTTCTTGTGGATCCAAACACTATGTCCCAGCCATGGAGGTTAGCACTCGTTTGGATCTCAGGAGCCGGCGAAACGGGGTCCTGGTTTCGGGCCCGGTTGGAAAAACCAAGCGAAGCAATCTGGACAAGCACCAGATGTAAAATTTGCTATATATATATAAGTAAACATACATACAAAATCATACGTACAAACAGGGTTTCTCTTTTTCTGAGTATTCATGAGCAGGTCAGGTACTGTTTCTCTTTACACTGATCCTTTAGTAGTCACCTTGTGCTCTGTCTTGTGCTCTTTGTCACTGGTCCGGAAATAGGACTGTACCAAAGAGCGAATCGTGATTGTTTCAAGAGCGTGAGGACTTTGCAGTCTGTTCGCAGGTTCAGGTCGCCCATGGCATGGCCGGGGGAGTAACCTGGTCCCTCGGTTCCCAGCTCAACGAACGATTGACACCACTCGGGCTTTCCCAACTCCAGTGAGTGAATCGCCTTCCTTCGGCCAACTGCATCATCACGAATCATTTGACAAATCTTTTTTGGGGGACCTTTGGTAGACTTGATCCATGTTCACCCTCGATGACATATGACTTCAGCGAAACAAGCTGAGCAACAGAGTATCGCGCGGCTCCTTTGGCAAAGGATTCCACAAAGGCTCAGCTTGAAAAAGTAATTCTCGAAAAGATTCAGCCTCATGCAATGCGTGCTTGGAGGGCTGTGCCCCTACGGTCTTCTCCTCTCAGGGAACAAACAATTCGCAGTGTCCCTTGTCTGCCAAAGCCACAGGGCCAAACAAACTGGTGAGTACCGGTAAGTAATATTCAAAGTGGATTGAAATTCAATATAGCTGGATTGCAAAAACATCTTGCAACTATCTCACATCTCTTCTTTCGGTCAACCTCGAACCACTGGTCATGGTGCCGGACTCCCCTGGGACCTTCGGAACAACGCCCGGCAAACATGGTGTGACCGACAGCACCCTGGAAAGGAAGCGGTGTCCATTTCGCATGCGACTCAGCGGCCTCTGCCACGAGCGCCTGGTCGTCCTTCCTGCAAGGACTGGCCGAAAGACTCCCCACAATAAAGGAATCCCACGAGCCCACTTGAATTTAGGATCTGCAGCCGAAGATGCTGCAAAACCACAAGACTAGACATTACAAAGAACAGCGGAACAGCTGGCTTTTTGCATCTTTTTGCAGGTCTCAAACTCGAAACGATCACTGTAGGTGCACAAAACATATGCCCTCCGCGCCAAAATAACGTTCTCTCTCCGGACCGAAATGCCTCCGGTTCCTTCACAGAACCTCCGCAATCGCGCCCAAACGGAGCCGCCGTCGCTGCCGGCGCCCGCTCCGCGGAGCATCGCTGGACCGGTCGGTACTCCTGAGAGCCATGAACTCGTGGAAGACAAAGAGCTCCTCTTGATCTCCACGAAGCCCTGAGACATCCGCTCGGCGCGACTGCGCCTTTTTTTAAACGTACAACTCCGAGCGCTCGGGTGGGATGGGCTGGGGTTTTCCGATGTTATGCAATTGACTGTTTCGGGGTGGAGAGGCATGACACAGCGCTTTCTTGTGTGTTGAGCGCCCTTGGAGACAACTTTCCTGTATAATTAGTCAGTTACAAAAGATGTGCTTGCCAAGTGAGTGAGTTTCTATAGATAGATATAAATAGTCTTACTTTGGAAACTGACATGCTTCAAGTAGATAAGCCGATTCGCTGCCGTGATGCCCCAGGCCTGAGATCTGTACCTGGAGCGGCGAACGCACTGAACACTGCATGAAAACGGTTGCAACATCGCAGCAGTGAGGCTGCCCATCAGGCTTTTGGGGCAATTTGTGGACTGGTCAGCCTTTACATAGGTTGGCTTTGCTTTTGATTGATCAACTTCACAAAATGACAGGGATAGCATGGAATAGCTAGTGTTCTAGTCTGGATCTGCATTTAAGAACATAGTAGGAGGTTGAATGGTTGTGCTCTCTATGTAATAATATGTACGTCGAATATTGACGGGCGTTTTTGGTACACATGCAGCGTTAACATGTGTTAACATGTGTTAACCAAAGGGGGTCACTACCCTTCAAAAGGCATCTTAGCTGCTTTGGATCTGAAGTCCTAGCTTGTTGGCTTTGCAAGTGTGCGACTCAAGGTGTTCCTTCCAAATCATGTCGGAATGATGAAGATCCCATTGCTCTAGTAAGGCTGGCCAACCTCACATTTGATGATATCATTTGAGCAAATCAACTCTGAAGTCCAACCGTATCGTACGAGAACATTGAGTAAGTGACCCTCAAGCCTCCAAGATCGACACGACAAACAGAAGAGCACCCCTCACAGCTAATATAGGTGGTTCAATATGTCACTAGGTGGTTCTCTTCGTACACAGACTGGGCATGCCTTTGGGCCCTATATGGTATAGTATCGGGGAATGAATTTGTGTGCCAAAGACGAGTGAGATATCTTCTATCTGGGCTGTTGTGGGAGTTCTTCTAATGACAGTAGCAAGGAAAACACGTGAAACACCCATATTTTGTTATGCTTGAATTCAGGCCTCGAGTTGAAGTCCAGCTTCGATGTGTCCCAGATCTGGCCTAAGCGGAGACTTTGAGGAAACCCAAAGCTGCCCAGTATTGAATCTGATACAGCTATCGGACATGGATACTGTATCATACACCTAGAAACGTTATCAAAGACAGCTTTGATTGCAAACTTCTGGAGCATCATGGATCTTGCGTGCATCGGCTGCATCACTGCTCCGAGTGGCCAGAAAATCACGCAAAAGGATTCCCCGCTGCAGTCCACAGACATGTATTTCACGCGCACCTCTGAGGGCTGGGGTCATGGGAACAAACTTGCCATGATTGACTGATCACACATTGGACCACGTTGGTCAAGAACTATCGAGATTCAGCTGTCAATATCAATCATCACAGCTCCCGAACTGTCTATCAAATACTGCCAAATCCATTCATTGTTTGCGACAATTGTCATACACAAACTGCACAAATACATTGTAAATGAATCAGTTGTTGCTCCCATGCTATACCCTCATCACTCCGAGCCGATTTCTTCACCTCCTGCAAGCGTTCGGCATCAGCAAGCTGCTCGTTGCACCTGAAGAAACCAACATAGAAGGACTTGCATACTACATTCCAGAACCTTGATTCCTGAAAACATCAACCATCTTCAAAATACTTTACTTCGAGCTCTCCCCACCCAAGAGGCGATTGGGCACATGTATTGACAGACTTGTTATCCTGCTCTGACACATCAAACCTGTGTTGTGCAACGCATTATGACACATGCTCCGACTTGCTCTGACATGTGTTCCGTCACGCATTGTGACATTTGTTCTGGCGTCTGACAAGAAATTCTGACATTTGCTGATATATATTCCGGCATGTGCTCTGTCTGACAGGCCTTATGTTTTAGCAATTTGCTCTGATACGTGTATTGAAAAGTCCAGCGCGCACCACTCAGCAGCGAGAACTGCCAAAAGTCCACAGCGCACCACACCGAAGCCAGACTCGAAAATGCAGAAGAGGGCGGAGGCGGCGGCGGAGGAGGAGGAGGAGGCGGGAATCCTGACATGGGGAAAAACACATAGCATATATATATATATTACATGTATGATGATGATGATGATGATGGTGGTGATGATGATGATGATGATGATGATGTATAAATGAACATTTGATCTTTTGACCACCCGTGAAATCCGAATTGGACTACAACAGCTACTCCCCTGCAAATTAACATGGAACCCCCAAACCACTGGGTTATAGAGGAAAATGGCCTTCCACCGGTCAATTCTCAGGTTCCATGTTAGTTTGCGGGAGGGTAAGTACCTCACTAGTAACACTGTAACTGTATCAATCAAGCTACTGTAAGTGTTGTAGAACAACTTCTTCCCATGATAGGCATATGGCAGATCCACTTGTCTGAATCCGCTCGAACCCACAACATGGCCAGTCCCTCCAATCCTCCCATTGAACACCATGGCCTTTCAATGTGCACGGTGAACACTCGCACCGTGGTCGAGGACCTGGCGAAACCCGCGGAGGGCGCCAGGTGTTTCTGCGACCCCTTCTGTTGCTGTCGTGCGTCCGGCCCCAAAAGGAAAACCCAAAAGGAGGCTAGGGCGTGTAGTATACTACCAGTTTTTGGCAGTATCACAACCAGTCCAGCATTGTAACATCAAAAACCCGTGTCAGATGCATCATAGCTTGGCACCGGACGTTGGCTGAAACCGCAAGGCATCTGGTATCACCTCACTACAGCTTCGCCACAACTAGGGACACTCTCCTCCAAAACCCTGCCGACATTCCGTGGCTCATTTGTTTCGGGGGAGAGCAACATGAGTAGTCTTTTGAGATTCTTCAACAACCTCCCATGCAGTGTGATCTCTCATGTTTAACCAGCTGCTCTAGTGCTTTGCGCAGTCCATTCTCCCTTTGTAACCTTTGTATGTATGCTTTCTTTTCACTGATCTGTGTCAAGGATCGTTGAAACGATTCCATGCTCTTGCCACCAGCACCTTTCTCCAGTCGATTAGAATGCTAGCAAACTGAGAAATTGCCGATTCATTGGTCGAGACTCGCTGAAGTACAACGGAAACAAAACACCTAAGACTCTTAGCCTAAGAACTGCAAAAAACACTGCTTTCGACAACCCATGAACCTCCAAATTCATTTGCATTCGTGTAATACATTGTAATACACCTTCGCCAATAGCCGTGTAATGGCCTTGCTGTTTCCGTGGCGCTCAAAGTTGCGTGGCCCCAACCCTAGGGGGCTAAGAAGTGCACTGTCCAGGGCATGTTTCGGCCTGCTCATGGTCTTGTGATGTCTTGTGAGAATGCCGCATTACTTGAACATAAACACTCCTTTGATGAACACTACTGCAACTCCATTCCTTCAGGTCAAGGAGTGAGAGAGTTTGCTTGGCTTTGATGATGACGATGATGGCCGTGAAATGTGAGATGTGCAAAACATATCGACATGGGCCAAACAAAGCATTGAGACAACCCGACAAACCAGCCTTCCATTATAGCTAAAGGA